TTTATTTTGAGCTAAAGCTGTCTACTAAGCCAATATAAGCTTAGTTACAGCTTTTTATAATTTGTCGAAACGTAAATTCAGCACTTGTGCTGTATTCATCGCGTTTTCAGCCAATCTGAAATGTATTCCAGTTTGTTCATCCGAGACAGCGCAAATCATTAATTACTTCTCGCGGATTAAACGTAAAACGCACAACTGCTAAACTGCATTTGAAATAACGAAGCATGAAGCACCTGAATAGAATAGAAAATGGTTGAAAGAGTTGGAACACAAATTAAATTAACGTGTGAAAACGTATGAATTACTCACCATTGTTTTGCTGTGGTGAACCAATTCTTTAACAGGCATTTGACGTAGCATAAAATATAACTTTAAAAATTTACCTGGATCTGTAGTTGTATTGATGTATTTGCAACTCGTATGTATGAAAAATTGGTTACAACAATTTCTAACAACCAATTATTAAATACTGAAATAAAATGATAGGTAAATTGTTTTACATTAAATGGGTAAATTTGTATTTTATATTTTTAAATGGTAATTCATTTTGTATTGAGATCAGAAGCCGTACCAAAAATTAATGAATATTACAGTTTTCAAACCTTTTTTTTAACTGTTTCCATTATTTTATTGCATTGTTATTCTATTTATTTCAATGTCTTGGGAAACTGTGTATTTGTATAGGAATAATTTCCATTCAAAAGCTGCATTGAAATGGGAAATGACAGACAAAGTGATCACAAAAACTGAATAAATGAAAATGTAGCATTTATTAAAATATTAAAAATGTCACTAGCATGTACTTGGGACTGAACCAGCAAGTTTCAGATTTGAAGGCGAGCTCTATAATCTCTCAGCTATCCAGACTATCATAAAATGGGCCAGGTCTAAGAATTATTTGTTAACATTATACAGTAAAGGTATTTATGAACCAAAGCAAGACAGTAAACATGTTTTTGAAAAAATGGGTTTTTCAATAAAATTTTGAAATAATTTCCTTTAAAATAGTTAACTTAGCAATAATGCAGTACAAAAGACTTTAAGTAGCTTATGATATTTACGTAAGATATAACGAGCACAACTCGAGTTGTAAGTAAATAGGTCAGGAGTAAGTGGTTAGTGGCTTGGTGGTGTTTACATTTAGCAATTTGTAAGTTGTTTCAAATAATAAATTGGTATTCATTCGAAATTATATAATAACTTATCATTTATCCATCCTAAGTGATGTCTACATTTGTATAAAAATACTAGCTGCTGTACCCGTGCTTCGCGACATGAATAAAAAGCAGTTTCATAATCAATGGCATAGATTTAAAATAAATAATAATTAATGATAAATTTTTAGATTAAAATAATAATCCTACCACATTGAAGTGTAAAATATATTTTAATATCTTTGGATCGTTTGTGAAAAAGCATTTGACAGTTCTGATTGTTACCATTGGACTGCCAACGCAAAGGTAAACATTGTGAATTTTCTTATGGAGACGAATTAATATTTACTTTGGAAAACCTCACCTTAAAACTTTGGAAATCCAAGGGGCACAGCCCGAGAGAAAATCAGTGAAGTGCTGGTTCGCGAACTCATTCAAGTTTACACCCGCTTTACACCTTTAAACCAAATTTCATCAAAATCGGACAAAAATTACTCAAGTTAAAAGTATTAACTAAATCTCCAAAAATGCACAACAAACTACAATTAATCTACACACATCTTCTAAATATCATAACTCGGCATGATAGGTTACTTAGATGTAAGTATATTGTACCATCGAAAATATCCCTGGAAATGTAAAATAAACATTTCATAGATAATATGTAGTCAATTATCATGTTTGCTGGGATAGAAGAAGAATATGTTTGTTGGTAAAGTTTAAAAAATGAAATATTTCAAATAATAAAATAAAAAAAACGTAAAATATTATGATAAAACAACAATTAATTTACTCCACATAAGAATCTCATGGCAAAAAATATACAGGGTGTTGAAAATGTCTGGAACCAACATTATATCTCGTGAGTGGTTAAAGAAAAACAACTGATATTTTGTGTACGGATATACTATGGTTTTACCTATCTTTTGGTGCCTTATGACATTTTTTACCACTTATAGGGAACGTCCTGTGGAGGATGCAGTAAAAAGTTTTAATGGAAGCCTATGGTAAATGATACATCATTTTAAAGGCCATTTTTTTCTGAGTAAGGAGCCACAAGTTTCATCTCAAAAGGACCACCCTAGCAAAAATGGCGACTGTTTGAAATTTAAAAAACCACTTATAGGGAACGGAAGTTTTAAATTTCAAACAGTCGCCATTTTCGCTAGGGTGGTCCTTTTGAGATGAAACTTGTGGCTCCTTACTCAGAATAAAATGGCCTTTAAAATGATGTATCATTTACCATAGGCTTCAATGAAAACTTTTTACTGCATCCTCCACAGAACGTTCCCTATAAGTGGTTATTTAAATTTCAGACAGTCGTCATTTTTGATAGGGTGGTCCTTTTGAGATGAAACTTGTGGCTCCTTACTCAGAAAAAAATGGCCTTTAAAATGATGTATCATTTACCATAGGCTTCCATTTAAACTTATTACTGCATCCTCCACAGGACGTTCCCTATAAGTGGTAAAAATTTGCATAAGGCACCAAAAGATAGGTAAAACCATAGTATATCCGTACACAAAATATCATTTGTTTTTCTTTAACCACTCACCAGATATAATGTTGGTTCCAGACATTTTCAACACCCTGTATGTTCCTTTTAATAATCATTTGAGCTACTGGTGGTTTTGGCACCCCAAAAACCTATTTGGATCCAAAAAGAAAATATTCATGGTTAATTTAACAACTAAATAATGTGGACATTGGCCTTATAACTATGGAAATAACTAAGTCCGTATAGGAAATGAGAGCCTAACCAAGTAGCTTTAATTAACCAATATGGCATAAGGGCCAAGTATATATTGGAACTACATATTGATTGTGGACTGTTTGGATCCGACTCACTTTGATACATCCAATAGACAGCCATTGTATGCACAAAGGCATCTTATACCCACATACGAGTCTAGTGTTTATGTATGTCAGTGTGCTGCTTTGCCTAATTATAACCATTGGCGTGTATAGTCAATGTTACAGCACAACTAGTAGGTTCATAAAGTAACTTTTCAGAGTACATTGCTAAAGCCGTTGATTCAAATAAACGGATTTAGAAAGTAATAGAGTAATGGATTAGAATGTCCCCCCAAAAGTATCAGCTGAAGGCGTAGAAATTATGAAAACAGCCCCGATTAGTACAAATACTATTGTTGCGTTATAAAATTGTTGTGTGTTTTTCATTGTGTGACATTGTATGTGTTTTTAAAATAAATACCTTTTATTGACAACTTAACACATAACAATTTAAAAATATGTCAATGTAATTTGAACCAATTATTGCGTTGGCGGAGTGATACCTAATGCGTTTAAAATATAATCTATAAATCATAGTAATTTATAGCAAAACTACGTGGAAACCATTGTGCAAGCTAATCCACAACAATGGTGAACAAAGTTGTTGGCCCAAATCACGTAATATAAAATGTTGATTGTGTAGATATTTCCCTATATACCCTATATACAGTGTAGATGTTAACAGCATAATTTCCCTGAAATATGAATAGTCCTGATGTGTGACAGAATGATGTACAGTAATTGGTTGTGATTCTGCTATTCAAAATATAATTTTTAATCTAGGTAAAATTTGAATATAATATTACTACGAGTATTAAGAATTTTAAGCAGTATTTATCTCGAGTATTTTCAATGTTTTAGCTGTTGAAGACGTTTAATTTAGATTCAGAAACATACAAATATGTGGGTATAATACTACATAGCCCACAATCTCTTTGTTGCAACTTTGTTGAATATTTCTTGGAATTTCAGTTTTCTTTAAGTATGTTTTTTTACTTGTTCTGTACTCTAGCACATTTCTTTACCTGTAAACTCAATGTTGAAGAAAAATCTTCAAACATTGCTCTAGACTGATTGTAAAGACTCGCGTAAATACATTTCCAGGAAATATTGTAAAAGTATTCCCGAAGTTATAGATTTGGCTTGAGTATTCGTTGTGTTTTCTTGGTACAATGTCTTACGTTTCACACATACTGTTGACGTACTTGTTTAAACTGTGTACAAAAGTCACACAAACCAATTGTTCGCTGTTTGAACTTTAAACAAAGAAATTTTTTTTTAAAATTCATCACAATCTATTATGCATAGCCTGCTGAAAGGAAACAATATTTTAACGCTTGATATGTATGTTCAGTTTCTTTAAACTGTATCTGTAAAATTAAAAACCCCTTTTGGATAAGCTGTTTGACAATTAATTACAACAACATTTAATCCCATAGCCCCAACCCACGCGCACGGTTAGTTTAGTTTTTTTAGAGTGTGACTACTACATTCCCGGAAGAGCTCCAGTCATTGAATCCCACACCAATGGCTTTGCTAGGCAATTCCCTGGCCGGGTACTTCGAAGCCTATCTTGAGCTTTTAGGTCCACTAAGCTTGAAAACAGGAAAGACAAAGTATTTTGGTGATAAGAACTCTGCATCGAAGAACCCCATCCAGTAAAAGCCAGCATAGGTTTGCAATATGTTATGTCACAATCCCTATGGTTATTTTACGGGATCATCCTTTTCATGTAAGAAAACTGATTTGAATCTAACTTTTACTATGAGAGTGATTAGTTTCACTTTGTGTTTTTATGTTTGAAAACATTGTTTATCAAAATGCCGGTATGTTATCATTGATTCCCCGTACAGATTTAATTATACTAGTTGAATAAAACTAGTCCATTTAGAATTATGTAAAATGTATAGTATTGTTTCAAGCAGTGGTATGCCGCAGTCATTTGAATTTACCTTGTACCTTATGTCATCTTTGGTTTCACTCAGGAAATTGACTTGTAATTGTTAAATAAATACCTGGATTGCTTATGTATATAACAGTGTGTTGTTTCAGGTCGGGGCATGCCACAGAGGGTGCTGCACCAACACTAACGACGTCTAGTGGAGGTAATATGATTAGTGTCAAGTCAAGGTGTTAGTCTTATCACGGGCTGCCACATGGCATTATGACGTCAATGGTTTAGAGACAATGTATGCAGCTTAGTTATGATGTTAGATATACTAATTTCATTGTATTACCATTGACATTTTAGATACTGAAGTAGGCACCCGTATAAACACCCACTGTTGCTATTAAAATAGCCCAATGAGTGATTCACATTGTGTGCTATTAAATAAACGCTTCATACATGAAATATGCTCTTGCACTGACGTCACTGGATAAGGAGATGTCATTGTTTAAAACTTTGGCATTATATATTACTTTTGTGCTAATACTAATCTTAAATTAATCTGTGTTAAGCATTAAATAGTCCTTACTTGACTTAATTTATTTACTTATGAAACATAATTGAGCAATTGAAACATAATTGACACTTGAGCCATGGATTATCAATGCATACCTTTTAGTTTTTCCTACTTATTGATCAAACTTGATAACCTATTAAAGTTAGTTATATTGATGTTTTGACTGAGATATAGATCGTTGCACCACAACATTGACGTATTCCATTTATTCGCGTTTATAACTATTAATGGGTCAAAGCTAAGTTTAGATTCCATTTCAGGTCAAGACAATTCTTAGGTTGAAGTGGTTCATTGTTATTCGTAAGGTTGTGCCTTTGAAAAACTTTAGCATTTGTTCTATATCTCTTTGACTAAGCATTTTAATTGGCAGTAAACCATCATTAATTTGTTCACATCATATTTCCTAATAATATGGCTATTTTTCATTTTGATTATGGTTGGACTACTAAAATATCCTACAATTGTGGCATTCTGTTTTACACCATTGTTGGTTCCCGGTCGCGCAAACACAAGATTCTTATTTTTATGTGTTATTATTAAAACTTAAAAAATCTGGAACTAAAAGACTTGAAAGTGTTGGGTAGACCAACTTCACATATCTATGTGGGTGTTGGCTTTTTTACTTCTCGTACAAACATTTACACTTATAAAAAATCGCTAAGAAGCTGGAAAACAAAATGGATCACAATATTCACACGCATCCACAAGGTTCAATATCTGTTCATTAAAATGAACAAAGATATTGTTCTGATCTGTTCAGATGCGGTCGGAACCCGGAGTGATTCTAGATGAGGAGGCGAGCACCGGATGTTGCTGGGACTCAACCGCTGCGAGTCAACCGGACACAGATACCTCTTCAGTGAGTATCTGTATTTGAATATGTACTTCAAACTGTATGGATAACAAATGTCTGTAATATAGTATGTATTGTAGTGGTCCGAACCTCTGATACATTTGTGGATATCGAAACCGACCCTCTTGAACAGAGTTAGATACCAAGCACAAGGATAGCAGCATACCGCTGTTTTGTGCATAGTTTCTATAACAGTTTCACAAATACATATCTTTTTGTTGGTCTAGATCTCAAAGAAAAAACCCCCTGTGTTATTGAAAAAAACTTAATCGCATGTAATTGTATTTTAAGTACTTAAACTAAAGTTTGTTTTAATGAACCTAACACAGCCTAACTAGGCTACAGTATTTTCCTAAATACCATTGAAGGTTGAGGAAATTCGTTATTTTTAGATTAGTGACGAGGCGAGTTTGACGGAACCATTGACAACCAGAAGTCGCATATCCGGATCCGGCAGTAGCGCTGGCCGGAAAAGGAAACCAATTTTGAACGCGAGGGAGAAGAACATGAGAAGACTGGAGAGCAACGAACGAGAAAGAATGAGAATGCACAGCTTGAATGACGCCTTCCAGGTAACTTATGGAGAATAGCGAACAGAACTAGTTTATTTGTTATGTTTATCTAAATAAATAGATTTTTTGTTTGTCCCAACCTAATTGCTTGTTTGTTCCATTCAACATATTTCATTCCGCTTTGAATCGAGTTCAATATCAACCTTAGTATCAGAATCGTTTATTAGGAATGTTGGGTATGTACATGCCCTATGTGATGAAACTTTCTACATTAAAGAAATGTTTAAGTAGATAGTTTTCCTAGTTAATTCGTGGCTTAATAATCTACTATAGCATTCTTTCGGTTGATCAAATAGAGATGCTCTCGAATAGAAAAGATGATTTGCCAGTTACTAACTATATAGTACATCAAGAACGTAGGGAGGTGACTCTGGTCTCTCTCTCAAAGACTTTTTCACGTGGACATTGTGAACGAACCTCATAACTCAAACCTACTGGTCTATTTTAGTCCACCAAAGAAGACGATTAAGCTTTCGATCAAGAACATTCACATCCCTCTCGTGTAAATATTACTTGTCTACAAAAATGTGATCTTCGTTAAGTTTTCAGGATCAGGGAAAGTGAAAGATAATTATTCTTAGTATGTATTTTTTAGACAACAATCATAATGATTATTAATTACAGTTTCGTTCGTTTTCAGTCATTGCGAGAGGTAATTCCTCACGTGAAGAAGGAGCGGCGCCTTTCTAAGATAGAAACCCTCACACTGGCCAAGAACTACATCATGGCTCTGACAAACGTCATCTGTGACATGAGGTAAATATACTATCTAATTCATTCATTTAATTAAATATCAAAAAAGTTTCTAACAAAATCTGTGAATTAAAAAGGAAAGCGAAGAATCCACAATGACTCCTTCAGAACATGTTACGATATGTAGGTTTGATTTAGTTATGACCGACTTACGATATGTAGGTTTGATTTAGTTATGACCGACTGTAAATTGTGTATAATACGGAAAATTCCATTTAAAGCCAAATTTTAGGTTAAGGCATATGATTCACAAAAGTTAAAACAATTAAAAAATCCACTTGTTGTAAAACATTTTTAATAAACACTAATTATTTATGTTCATTCGCTTTATAATTATTTATTGCAATGGTTTTTATCTTATTCATCTGCATTGTACTTTTTTAGGCCTATCTGCAATTGCTTTTGCAAGGCATTATTCTTGGAAACCTATCCAAGATACAATCATTTTAATCGTTAAAACCCTAGTACTTTACCCTTATTAAAACCTACCCCCTTATTACTTTAGTACTTTAGGATATGGTTGAAATCATCAGTGATCTGTCGTCAAGCTACCGATCAGTGCCGTAGTTGGACGATTCAGCTGGTATTAGCTTTTTCTATATATTCTGCACTGTGTAGTAGACTCCACGTTTTCGTAGTCTACTAAGGCCGTAACAATTTTTGGAATAAATATAACTTGAGCCAATGACACAATGCCTGCAGTACTACTATTTCTTTACAGTTCACAGAATGGTGTAACAGTTTTAATATAATAGGGTAAAATCTCATTGCATATATAATTTACCTCAACTATCATTTATGAAAACTAAAAAAAATAGAATTTCTAAACAGCGGACACTGACAGGTAATTAACCATGTTTTCTATGAGTATAAAACTGACTACAAGTCTAATAGATGGTATTCTTTCTCAGTATCTAACTTGAACGGAATTAAATATACAGGTTGTCCCGGAACTCTCTACCAAACTTTTAGAGCATTGTTCCTGAGTTAGAAACGTATGTAAATACCATATATAAATTGGCCACAAGTGCTTATTTACTTACACAGCCGCCATTTTGTTTTTTCCCTTATTAATTTTTTCCCAAAGAACGGTTTAACATACGAAATTTAAACTTAGAACAAACATTTATGACAACTAAGCAAAGCTAGAAAAAATTATAAAAATTTTCAAAATTCATCAAACAAAATGGCGGCCATTTAAAATTTGGTTTCTTAAATAACTCAAAAACCGTTGATTTTACAAAAATTTTAAATGGTCGCCATTTTGTTTGATGAATTTGGAAAATGTTCATAATTTTTTTCTAGCTTTTCTTAGTTGTCATAAATGTTTGTGCCAAGTTTCAATGTTGTATGTCTACCCGTTCTTTAGAAAAACATTAATAAGCGGAGAAAACAAAATGGCGGCTATGTAAGTAAATAAGGACTTTTTAAATATGGTATTTACATATATTTCTAACTTAGAAACAATGCTCTAAAATTTTGGTAGAGAGTTCGGGGACACCCTGTATGTTTGAGCTTATATGGTTGATGCACCTTGGACATTTCCGAGTCATTAGATTTTTAGTAGGTTAAAGGATTAAATCACAGTTTTACTTAAGTTTTCAAGTCTACTTCCCAAGTACATAGCCTCTCTCGTTTCTCCAGCTCTTTTATCTTCGCATTCAATTTTACTGTTTTTTTTTCAAAATAGGGTACTTTTGAATGTTTACTTGAATTGCCTTGTGGTGGTAATTCCTCGTATGTACATTTTCAGGGGGGAGGACAGCCCTTACGAGAAGACCCTCCCATCTGCCACATCGCCATCACCGTCAACCACGCCAGGGGATGAGAAGAGCTTCTACGACTTTGAGTAGTCCACTTCCCCCTGCACATCGCAACTCGAGAACATAGACTTCAACATTTTAACTATCTAGTATAAGTAAATGATTCCACAGACTGTTAAGGACTGATCATTATGGAATCGAATGGGAATCAACTATAGACAATTGACTAGTTTCATTGTAGTGAGTTTGTTGCTTATGCACGAGTAGAGTACAACAGAAGGGGTTATAATTTGTGATAATTATTATAGGTGATATATTTTGTAATCATAAACTTTAGATGAATTATGTAGTGAACCCATAAGAGAATGGTTGGTATAAATTACGTTGTTATGTTATCTTGTACAGGAACTCCTAACTCTAACCATAGTTTTAAGTATTCAAAATGGTTTGGTCCAAGGTAAACCGGTGATTTTAGAAAATAGTTTCTTGTAAAGATACATTATGGTAATATTCTATCTTACAAAATGAATCTAGTCAAATATGCGTTAAGTTCAATTCGTAAATGTAAAGTGACATGTATGTGCCAACAAATGTGATTTAACAATTAATTAACTAATACTGTATATTAATGTATGTTAATTGTCTTTCGCTTTTTGTACACTTCCATTTAACTATATCCCATTGTAACATATAGTTTGAACTATAGTAATCACTGTGCAATGAAGTACACCCAAAATAGAGTGAACCAAAATTAAATGGCCGTGTGGAAAGTTTGACAGCTGTTTTATCTAATATTTAATTTCAATGAAATTTGTCATCATTACATCAGATTTATTTTCACGATGGTTTTACTCTTTTGAAATTGCCATCAGTACACATACTTAAAGAATACTTAATGTTTAAGCACATACCTAAATGACATTTTCACCACACTATGATGTTTTTGGATGTATTACATACGTTAATTGATGCCCGAAAGTTACGTTTTGCTGGCCATGCCAGCTGTCATCGTAATTTGGGGACCGAGCAGGTTTTTACAGGCCGGGGCCGCAAAATCAGCTGTCCGCTTACTTACTTAAAACATGAATGCATTTAAAATACACAATCAAAATCCATAGCATTGCAATAGAATTGTGTTATTGTCACCGTTGCCTGGCAACTATTTATTTTTATTTTTGCTGATTCCTCAAATTATTTCTTCACATAACCTTAAAGTTGTAGTTGTGTTGACTATCAGTGTGCATTATTATAATAGTGGTAATAGGGTATAGTGTGGTGAAAAATAGCGTTCGTACCACGGACCGAAATGGTTTTGCAGCTCTCGATCGATTTCAGTTCTCGACTTCGTCTCGAACTTAAACACTATCTCGAGCCGGTAAAACCTCATTTTCGGCCCTAGGTACGAAATATACTATTAAGACTTCGTTAAAATAAGGGTGGATTTAAATTTTTGCAAAAACACAAACCAATATGTTTTAGTTTTCTTTCATCATAGTTAACTGGTAACAACTTATTCCTAACAGATTTTCTTACTGAGATAAAACTGACTTACATTCTCTAAAATAAATATAGTGAAAGTAAATTATACCTAACTCTATTATACACTGCACGTGTATCTTAGTAATATTTTGTAGCTTAATTTGTGTATTTAGTATGTTAAAGTGTACAATTATAAACCAAGCAGTACAATTAAAAGAATTTAAACTTTGTTATGCGTGAGATGTTATATATTAACATTAGTTTAGGGAGGAACCTGACTGTATAGTTAAATTAAAAACTGTTACGATCAAACTAGATTAATAAACGGCTGTGGTTGTTCCGCAGTTGAATTGCAACTTGTTCTTAAGATGGATTCGGAAGATGCAAAGATGTCATCAGAAACGTCAGCTACTCTTTTAGCAAGACCAATTATGTAGTCATCTTCTGTTGATCAAGATTCAACCTAAAGTCTTATATCTAGCATAATAATTCCATTCTTTACCAGTGTTCGCATGTATCTATTTTACTCAGCCCATGTAGTAAACAATTCAACGAAAAGTGCGAAAATTAAGTCGGTTGATACACGACAAAAGGTATTTTGTTTTATACTTAAGTATTTTCTTATATTTCAAGGGAATTTCTATGATTTTTTAGCTTTCCACTAAATAATACTATCTATTATTATCTTCTTCTACGGAAGTATCCTGATTGTACTGGAAGATGTAGTTTCACTTGCCAAAAAATAAAAGGCTAATATCGTGTACAATAAATAGTTTTAAATGAGGGTTTTATTTATTTTTAAGTTGGGTTGGCCAAAGAAAGTTGACAATCATTGGCTTATTCAGGCGGCAATAGTTTGAAAGTTTATCTGGATGACATTTTAGATCAGTAACCTTGCCTTTTACACAGTACCATATCAGTCTAAATCATCTCGTAGGCTAACCGTCTTTTCATGAAACTCTGCAGTCAAATTTAGGATGTCTAAAGAAGATCTTTCAAAACCGAGGTGTCTAAAGTAAATCTGGACGAGCTTGAGATTTCTAAAATATATGTGGATGAACCTATGATGACATAGGTACGGACGGATCATTCATAACCGTAAACGTAATCATATGATCATAACATAATCTTGTTGAACCTCAGATGTCTAAGTAGATCCTTGCCGAATCTGGTATGTCTAAGTAGATCCTGGTCGAACCTGGGTTGTCTAAGTAGATCCTTGCCGACCCTGGGGTGTCTAAGTAGATACCTATTGCCGAACCTTCAATGTTTAAGATACATTTTTGCAAATCTGGGATGACTAAAGTAGATGTGTTGAAACAAGTAATATCCTAATTAGATCAAGGTCAAACCGGAGCCGACTCTAGTAAACCTAACAAATTGGGAACCCCCAAAGATGTATCTTGCTAAGCCTGGGATGTTTAAATTAATATCAAATCTGTCTTACTAACTTGTGTTGTATCTTCAACTCGTTTCTTAGTAAAACCATCTTGTTAAGTACCCCTTTCTCTCGTGTTTCCGAAAAATCATACTATTGTCTTTTTTACTTTGGAATTTAAGAAGCTAATTAGGGTTATTGACTGGATACAGTGTCGTCTATCGTATTTTAAGGTAGGTGTATCTCTGGATGTTGTCTTATAAAACCCTGTTTGCCTTAAAGGGTAGTCGTGTAGCTTATATTAAGACGCCTAATCGTATACATGTCTCTTCGGTGTTGTCGTTAATGGTCCAATTGTTGTTAAGGGTTGACTTTAGGTAATGTTATAGAATCACATGGTATCGCATGTCCGAGTTGTGTAGAATCTATGTACTTTGGAATTTGTGGTTTTCTTGAATGTCGTGGAGATAATTATCAGCGATTTAGTTTTTCATAAAAAATAAGATATTTTTGTCGTTATATTTATAAGGATGGATTTATGCGACAGTTTTCATAGTTCAATGAAGAATATGAACCTGCAGTTTTTTTAAAGAATTAATTTTGTCAATATTTTTGATATTTCACAGTAAAACAACGTGTATACGACTCCAAAACTGCAGATGGAATATACGTACGATTAAATAATATGTTATATAACAAAACAAAATTCTTTGAACCTTAATGAGTAGAAGGTAGTTACTTGTTTACAAACTAATTCAATTCCAGTGAATTACTATGACGTAATAGCATTATCTGGATTACATAGGTAACCGAACTTTTTTTTAATGTATGTAGGTAATACAGTTATGGTACACTTAATGTTTTTGGATTTATAAATGTTTACTCTAACTTATAAATTTAACCGCGTAAACAATTGTAAATCTATGTAGGCTAATAGATTTATTTGGCTGTGATCTTTTATATGTTCAAATTATTTAATCCTCGTTGAAACCTAGGAGAATCAAAGGATTTAGGATCTAATATCTGATGGTGTATATTTTATGTTTGACGAAGTTTGCAAAACATTACTTGTAATATAGTTTTGACTTTGATATACTGTGTTTGCAGTTAGGATACAGTTTGTCGTAAAACTCATATTTTCCATTACAGCTTTTATTGCGTTTATAACGCCCAAGAGTCGCTGTCTTCTTACTCTCTTAGCTGTAATTTTCTTCTTTACTGTCTTGGATATCCCATAAAGGTATTTCGTACGTTACATTTGAGAAATTATATTTTGTAAAACAGTGAATCAATAGTTATTTTAATTTGGGGTTTTATAATTATGGTTTTAAAGTTGGACATGTTGTTTGAGGCCAATTTTCTCCTCTAGCTGTTCAACCTTTTATTTCAATCCTACGTTACAGTTGCTGTCGGTTTTATAATAATAAAAAACATCATTTAGTTAACTGCTTGACAGAATTTCCTCCATTTAAATGTCATTTACTTAAATAACGTTTCAATCCCGCCGAACTGAAAAGGCGATTTACTTTAGCCATGGCATCTTTTACATCCCGATACATGAAAAAGGGTTGAATATACCTTCCAAGATTGGTTCGTTTAACTACGATCTCTTTTAAGTGAAACTATGTTTATTTCTGATTTATATACAGTAGATTAGATACCTGCTTCCGTATACAAAATCAATCGTTCAATTTATATTTTTATTGCAAAAACATGTTTAACCGAATTTTATTATTTGTGTCACATTTTATGGATACATTAAATATTCCAAAAAACAATTTTCAAATGTGTATTGGTGTATTTCCAATAATTTTGGTGTTGTGATAATTTTTTTCAAAAATAATAGGATTATTTATTTGTTTGGTATATTTTAAATCTTAAATTGTAAAAATATTTTTTTTACAATGGGATATGCAGGAAAACTAAAACATTACTATGCTTTCGTTTGAAATACCTGGTATTGTCATACATAAATTCCTAAAACATGTGTTGAAATTCGCTATTTCATCACAAGGAGATGTGAACTTATGAAAGGCTTTATCACGAATACGTTAAATGTAAAATTCTCCTTTTTAATAAACATTGCTCATTTGGCTGCTAGTATTATCACGTTGATTCATTTTTACTCGCTAAAATCGTATCTAGGAATCAGTGTAGTTAATTAAGTGGGTATCAAACCTCCCACATACAAATCTCAAAGGACGTTTTCATCTGTAATCACTTAAATCGTACTTTTTCTTCGACCCTTAGAATGAACTTATCTTTCCGTCTCTCATACTCTCAACTAGACATATATTCATTGCTCAGACAGAATACATGTGTGTAATGCTACACTTGTAAAGCGATGGCCTATCAATCCATACGAATTATTCTAAGAGAAAAGGTCAATTGATGTAGTCTGCATATCGTGGTGTACGCTTCGCTAGAAGGCAGCGTGATAGTGTGTCTTGTAACAGATACATTAACATGCCAAACCTTCTGTATTGTTGTCCTACTTCTATCCATGTTTCTCGTGCGCCTTCTGTCTTGGAAATATCAATTATAGTGTAATTAAGGATTTTATGTTACGTGTATATACGTAAGCTGTAAACATAGAAAAATAGAATAAATATAGACCAACATCAGTGCTGCTGTTACCATGTTCCGGCGTCCACCGCTAGGAGTGCCGTGTAGTTACGGCACACAGGCCTGCAGCGGTGTGCGCCGTAACTACACGGCACTCCTAGCGGCACATTGTGGAACCTTCCTTTGACAGTCTATATTTATTATATTTGTCTATGCTGTAAACTAGGGACAGTAATAGTACAGTTCGAGGTATT